GAAGAAGTGTTAAAGAAGTGTCCCATAGACACATATACCTAGATAAAAAAATATTATTATATAAAAGTATGTATAAATTAAAAATTTTTTAAAAAATGTAACATAATAATGTTGAAATATAGGTATATTGTTTAAAAATTTCAAATTGTAAAATCTACACTATAATAAAAAATGTATTATGTATTTAGTTGGTACAGGCTTTTTTTCCCAAGGCTTTTTTTTGGGGGGCTTTTTTTCCTAGATTCATTTATTTTTATGGGTAAATAAATATATGTACAAAGGAAATATTAATATTAATTAGTACCGTGCTAAGTTAACGTGTTTAGCCTGTTTAGGTATACCAGATAACTCAGTATTTTTATTTATTTTTGAAATAATGTACCTATATTTACTTTAAAACTAGTTTGTATCATATTATTATTTATGGCTTGAATTAGAAATTGTTGATGTGGGGTGTTGGTAGTGTATTTGCTAATTCAAATTTGTTGACTAATCATACAATATCCTAAGTATATAAATATCTAGTTATTAGTTAATTAATTGAATAAATAAAAATAGAAAAAAGTGATTTCTGTATTCTAATAACAGTGGGAATTATTGTTGGTCATTGTACTATGAGACTTGTGACTTGTCTCAAGGTTCATATTTTTGTTTTATTTTTATTTTTCAGTAATTGTTGCTACATCTATATGACTGTTTGATTTTATGATTCATTGTTTATTTCTGGTTAATATTATAATATTGTAATTTGTTAATATATTATGTCTGATTAATTCAATAAACTTTGATTGATGGTATAGGAAGTAAACTACTTATACAATATAAAATATGATATTAAATAAAAATAAAGGCAATGTCCTTTATTTTGTTAGCTATAATATTTTTTGTATAGTTAGTTTGAAAAATTGGTTACTGTTTTAAATTTTTTTAAGAGGTCATTATATCTATGTGTGTTGTCTCCGTCTTATAAGTGTTTAAATTTATCTCTTCTAGTTCCATTAGTTTAAAAATTAGAGTGAATTAATCTCTTATACAATTTAAAGGTAAGAGTATTATTTAGACAACCTCATGGACTTATTACTATATTTTATTTTTGAAGCGAGTTATAAGTATTTTAAAATTGTATTGTTTGTACATAACACTTATAACTCTCATCAAAATTAAAAGAAAATAAAAAGTCCAAGAGGTTCTCTAAATAATACTATACCTTTAAATTTTATAAAAGATCATTGTACTATAATTTTAAAATTAAATGCGATCTGCTGAGCGTAAAATTTGCTATGTTACAYACTTATAAGACGAAGACAACACTTGCTGGTATAACGTCCTCTTAATTTTGTTTCTAGTTTTTAAAATCATATTACTGACATTATTGTAAGATTGAAAAGTAATGTTCTGTGCATGTAACAATTTTCACCTAAATGTCATAAATTTTTTTTTTCTAACACATAGAACAATTTTTCATTTTTCTGGCATAGGTACTTCTAATAGTCTTTCAAATATTTCTTACAAATTGATAACTGATATCTACTTAAAATAGGGAAAGTGGGTAAGTGTACCATACTAAAAGGGCAATAAATATTTATTGAAATTTTTTTTTGTGTATTCATTGTTCCTACAAAAATAATTATATTATAATACATTAGTGAGATTTGTATAAGCAATTAGACAAATATAAAATAACTGGTTATTATTTGATGTATTTTTTATTAAATACCATTTGGCCTTCTATAAGTACATATTATGTACTATTTGAAAAATACTTCAATAGGTATTTCTATTACTTGCAATTTACATACTAAAATATACATTTTACCAGTAGCATTAGACAATAGTAATAACACAATGATATATATTAGTATAAATTAAACTGATTAGTACTTTAAACATAAAATAAACTTTGAACGGTTAAATGTGTTAGGGATTTTACTATCCATGAGGTTGATTTTTTGATCATAGTTATTGTAGTTACCTAATAATTTCTATTCTGTGTCTGTAATACTGTAGTTATATAGATTTTAAGTAATATTTCTTATTCAAATTAACTATTAGCTTATTGCTTTCTAGTTTATTGTTTTAAAATTGCAATTCTTGTTATGAGAAAAAAATTACAATAGACCAAAAAGAAAAAAAAATTATTTATATCTAATTTTTAGTCTGCAAGAGGTTACAGCTGTGAAGTTGGTCTGAAAACCTTTTAGTATACAGTCTATCAAGAATTCCATATTTTCTGAACGCCCCATTTGTCCTTGGATATTAATCCATCTATAACAGTGTTATCCATATTGGAAGCTATTAAAATTCAAAATTATGTTATTTAGTTTCTTGTAAGTGTAAAATCAGCAATTTTTTTTATTACAACCTACTATAAACTAGTTTATTATCAAGGAGGGATATTCCCTCTCCCTCAATGCCATTTAAATTTTATGATCAAGCTTATAAAATTAAATTTTATCATTAAAAATTTTAATTTTGCTTTATATTATGTTAGCATAAAAAGTGTATGTGTTAATATATTGCCCATTGTATTTTGAAATGTTATTAAATTGATGGCAATTTATGATTAATATATTATACTTAATAATTAGAAATATTAGTAATTATAATTACATTTTTTAAAGGTCTTGATGAAAAAATTGAATATATGCAACAATTGGGTGTAAAAAATGTTGTATTGACATCTGTATTTCAAGCTGACGGTGATGAAGTTATAGATTTCATGAATGTAAATATTTCTTTAGGAAATGAAAATTCATTGAAAAATCTTGTTAAGAATTTAAAAAATAAAGGTATATTGTTGATTATCTTATTTAATTATCTACTATAATAAAGAATTCTTTTAGATATGAAAGTGATGTTGAAATTAGTTCCTAATCATTCTTCAAAGTCTAACTTAATGTTTGAGCGATCAGTCCTAAACGAAACATTATACAAAGATTTTTACATTTGGAATTCTGGTTTTAGTGATGGTGAACATCATTACCCTATCAATAATTGGGTTAGTAATTTGTATTATTTTAGTTTGTTTTTGAATATTCTATTAATTATTCTTGTTAATTGTATTAGTTGAGTGTAACTGGAGGATCTGCCTGGAGTTGGAATGAAAGTCGAAAAATGTTTTATCTTCACCAGTTCTCTGCAGAATACCCAGACTTCAATTTTCGCAATAAAGATGTTGTTTATTATTTTGAGGTATTTAATTTGCTGTTATATTTTTATTAGCATTTCTTAATTTTGTATGATTTATTTTTTAGAAAGTGTTTAAGCATTGGTTGGATATAGGAATTGATGGATTGTATTTGGATAAAGTTCAATATTTGTTTGAAGATAAGGACTTTAAAAATGATACTATTATAACAGCATCAAATGGGACCAAAAACTATGATTCATTTAGTCATAAAGCGACATCTAATCTTCCAGAAACTAATGATTTGTTATCACACTGGGGCAATTTAATAAGAAATAATTCTGGGTGAGTAAGATTATATTGCACAAAATTATTAAAATGTACAATTACAATATGGATGGGTAAGTTATTAATCATTTTATTTTAATGAGTTAATTTGAAAACATTTATAGTTAGTACCTAATTCTTTTTATTTTTTGTAAAATAATATATTTTTTTAAATTATAATTATAAACAAATTATATGTCTTAATCTTAATATTTGTCTGGATTAAATATCAAAGAAAACTAAATTCATAGTTAATTTTTAATTAAATGTTTTTTTGTACAATTTTCAGAGTATTGCTTGTGAGCGACCTTGATTCAAATGATATTAAGGGAATAAATATGGTTCATAGTTCTGTGAAGTTGCCATGTGATTTCACTGGAGAACAATTATTTAATGCAATTTTACCTAAAGCAACTACTTCATGGTCTTCTTGGGAAGTAAGTTAAATTTATGTATATTCAAAATTAAGTATTAACATATTTTATTATTGATTCAGTGGGTATCTACTGATAAACCAAATTGCTGGAAGAATGAAACAATTGATGCATTTAATATTCTCGGTTCACTATTACCGGGTGTACCATTCATTAATGCTGACTCAAAACTATTTAAAAACAACAAAATACCAAATATTACATTGATTGAAAGTACTTTACAAGAATTACGGTCAATGCCCACAGTTGAATTTGGTTCCTTTAATGCCAAACTTTTAAATAATGATACAGTATTTGCTTTTGATAGGTAATTCATCACAATACTATATTTATTTTAAATTATATATATTATTTTCAATTTAGGGTAATGAGTGGTTCAGAGAGCCTTTTGTTTGCTTGGAATTTAAGTAAAAATGTCACTGTTCTAAACCTAAATGCATTTGATGGAATTCCCTCAGAAGTAAATCTGTCACTTTGTACTGAGACTGCTTGCTCCATACTTCCTACTCCTAAGTAAGTTTTAGTTGCTTTATATTTATAGATATATTAATTAAGATATTAATAAAGTTGGTTGAAACAAGTATTAATTTTGATGGCTTAATTTCAATAAAGCTAAAATTATTAAGATTAACAGATAATTTCTTGAAATTGTCGAATTGACAGTTATTAGTTATTATTAAAAAAAATTCTTAATCTAAAATAAAAAAAGATGTGATAACATTTGTTTTATTATTTCTTTAATTTTATTCAAAAGTTAGATAACCCTTGTAATTTTATATATATACTTCAAAGTTCAAATACAACTGCCTTAAATTGCATATGTTTATACATTTGAAAAAAAGATTGATTTGACTGATTATAACTGGTATAGTTATTGTTTATTAAAATGCTTTGTTTATCACAGATAGATTATTTATATTCTTGTATAATATTTTGATTGATAATAATCTAATATTGTATTTATAAATTATAATTAAGTTTCTATGTTAGTTCATACACAAAAGTGGTTTTCTTGTATATCAAAAATAACTTTGAATAAGATAGATTAATAATATGTAGGTATTAAGGTATTTAACTAGAATATAATTACACTTTAGATTATGATGAATATATTAATTATCAATCTTAATTAGTATAAAAAATTAAGTTGTTGTATTTATGGTTTGTGATAAATCTAAGTTCATTCTGAAAGGTCTGTTTAAATAGATGTAAGATATTTGTTTTTGTGGAACTGATGTTCTATACTACAAATCATATTCTATAATTATGTTATAATCTTCTACAATGAACTATGTATTTATATACTAATATTATCTAAAGAGTTAATTCGCACAAGTTATATTAAAATACTTAAAACTATTAACTTGATAAGATGTTTTTCTAATAATTAGAAAAATTATCATTGAGTTAGTAACTCGCAGAATTTAATTCCGTGAAAATTAATTGCTCAATAATTATGCCAATAATAGACCAATTAATGGTTATATGTTCCATTATAATGTGGTCTTATGTTTAGTTTATTAATAAGAAAATTAAGAAAATTATGCCACCCATGACTGGGATTCGTAACGGTGCGCATCGCAACCGATGCCTGAATTCATTCGGCCACTACACCTCCCCTATTTATTTTATCTTACTAATAAAAATATGAATTACATGATAAAAAAAAAATTATTTTTACTGTTTAAATTAGTTTCACTTATACTCGATAGCCTCGATAAAATAGCCCATTAGATTAAACTATATATTTGGTTCTTGAAACAATAAAACTAATCTTTTTTTATGTTATTTTTTTTTTTCTAGAACAAAAGTTGGCAGCAATCAATTGAGTCTTGCTGGTGAATCTGCTGTGGTTTTGAAATTCTAAATGGTTGAACATGCATTACATTATTAAATCATTTTTTGAAACTGCTGAACAAAATTATTTAATTTTTTGTTTAAGTATTAATATTTATAATAATGACTTATAATATAATTACCTTTAATCTCACTAGTTATTACTTTTCCCTCTCTACTTATGAAATTCTCAATTTTTTCATGGTAACTACTAACTACCTATTGAAAAATCTTATTATTGATACCCGTAACAATATTATCCTTATTGAAATTAAAACAATTTGAAAATAATACAATGTCTATGTTTTTATATAATTTAAACCACGATATATTAAAATAACTACTGTGAGTTTCTAAATAGAATATAATTATTGGTTTATAGAATCAACTGTTTATTGGAATTCAAAAACAGAAATCCAAACCAAATC